TAATATTCGGAAAATATATCAGTGTAAGGAAGAGATGCTGTTAACCACTAATCAGGCAGTATGGTGCAAATATCAGAAATATTCCCCAGGCTCGGAATAAACATCAGCAGAAAGTTAGAGTTCCGTGATAGTTGGGTAGGGTATCGTATGGTCGGCCCCGTCCGACTATACTGCTCCGCTCACTGGTTTTTCATTGTTTTTTGTTTTCATCATGGCTGCTGAATTCATCACTTTTTTGGCATCATTCAATATTGACGTGAATCGATATATTTGTATGCTGTTTTTTACTGGTAATTTTTATTTTCAAGTAGCTTCAAATGAGTAATTCACCTGTTATTTCTTTTGTGGCTACATGACGATTCTTTTCTCAGTTCAATAAAAAATAAATTATTATGAGTCACATAAGTTAGAGCACGTTTTATATGATTAGAGCTGTAATGACCAGATCGAAGTCTTAAATAGCAAAAATTAACAAAGGCCGTTAATTAAAATCTAATTTTTACATTTTTATTATATCACCCATATGATTTATTTTAGACAGATCCCTTTTACAGTTCTCTTTTAAAGTTACGATAATACAACACAAAATAAATAAAAACGTGTAAAAACGTAAAATCGGTTCAAACCAATTGTCGTATCACTTTTTCCACTTCGCATACGACACCTCCAAAACATAACAGTGCTGTTGGATTAGAAGTTTCTTATGTTTTCTACCGATGAACGTCAATCATTGACTTGATTCTAATACCTATCATTTGTTATATGGATTTAAGATCTCAATTTCCACCTCATACTCTGCAATTCCTATCCGCCGAAAATAAACTCCATGCCATATTTCTTCAAATTTCATTTTCGGAAAAGGAAGTTCTTCATATATAACTCATTATATGAGAAGCTATATTAATACCAATAACTAATAATGACACATTCGTATTGTGGTTATTAAATTTCAATTTAATCAATAATAAAAAGAAGCAATATTTTTTTTTATCAAAGTCAACAAAACCGTGAAAAAAATATCCACAACCATATTCAAATACTAAATTTAAAAGCACACACATACGAGGACAGTTCGGAAAGTTTTTAGTCTAGTACAAAAAGTAAAAGGTTAAGTGTTTTGGAAACCTCCATCTCTGTTATGAACACATGTACAATTTTGTTTCGATCTGGCAACTCCTTCATATAGAAACAGGTGTTCAAAAAAGACTCATCCGCAATTTTTTTACAATGAAAGCACGCATTTCTAATTTTTCCATTGTTAAAAATTGCGGATTTGTCTTTTTTGAACATCTGTTTCTATATGAAGGAGTTACCAGATCGAAAAAATTAACATGTGTTCATAACAGAGATGGAAGTTTCCAAAACACTTAACTTCTTTCTGTTTATACCACGCTTTTTGTTTTAGGCTAAGAACTTTCCGAACTGCTCTCGTACACTTCATCACACACTTGAGACTACTTGCTGCATTTATTTCACTCACATCCTCCACTAAATCATTTCTAATTTATTGGTATTTTCTAAATAATTGCATCGCGTCACATGAGAATATTCAAAGAAAGAACACAACAACAACAAGACAAACTAAATATATTTTTTTGCTCCAAAGGAAGGGCAAAAATGGTCAGACAATTGGCCGTCATCATCAGAATGGCGAATGGTGTGTCGAGATTTCTAAACACGTTTTATTTTTCTACGACTACAAAACTGCAAAATGCGAGAATAATGTCTGAACTTTACTGACAGTTGGTAATTATTTACAATGCCATAACAGCAATAACAACAACTACTAGAAAATGGTAAACTAATGACAAACGTCTGCCATTCATTTGTCTTTTTTCTCAACAACAGTGTTAGTATAGAAGTGGACATTAGGAAAAAAGGGTGTTTAAAAAGTAATGACAAGAATTAAAAAAATGTCTTCTCTTTCTTTAGAATTTTCTGTAGAGGACCAGAAAGTCTTCTTATGGAAGACCAGAAGGTCTTCTTTAAAAAATAATATAGAGAGAGCGAATGAAAAATAGAAGGTCTTCTATAAGAAGAATATTTGGTCATTTATAGGTCTCCTATAAGATCGTGTAGTTTTCTATAAAAATACCTTCTGACCCCATAAAGTCTTCTTATAGTAGTCCAGAAGGTCTTCCATAAGAAGGTATTTTTATAGAACACCAGATGGTATTCTTATAGAGGACCAGAAGGTCTTCTTATAGCAGACCAGAAGGTCATCTTATAGAAGATCAAAAGGTCTTCTTATAGAGGACCGAAAGATCATTTTATAAAAGACTAGAAGGTATTATAGAAGCTAGAAAACCAGAATGTCTTTTCATAGGATACCCCAAGGAGACCAAAATAGCCTCACATATGAAACTAGAACACCAGAAGGCCTTCTTACAAAGGACCTGAAGGTCTTCTTATAGAAGACCAAAAGGTCATCTTATAGAATATCAAAAGGTCTTATAGAATCTAGAAACCCAGAATGCGTTTTCATAGGATACCGCAAGGTATTCTCATAGAAGAGCGCAATATCCTCACATATGAAATTAGAAAACCAGAAGGTCATCTTATAGAAGACCAGAAGGTCATCTTATAGAAGATCAAAAGGTCTTCTTATAGTGGACCGGATACCAAAAGGTACTCTCATAGAATACCAAAATATGCTCACATATGAAACTAGAAGGTCTTCTTATAGAAGGTCTGTTTATAGAAGACCACAAGGTCTTCTCATGGAGATCATTCTATAAAAGACTTTAAGGTCTTCTTTTAAAAGTCCACAAGAATCACCGGAGTATTTTATTTTTACAAGCTATCACCCAAACTACAACACCCCGTCAACTTATTACTTTTACTTATGTCTTTTGTTCGCAGTATAGAATTAACTATTACAATGAAGGCTATCATCATTGGCGTTGGCAACTTGTCGTTGTTGCACTCACTTAGCCCGTCGAAGAAAAAAACGAACGACAACTTGTTAGCAGTTTCAACTATTCACGAAGCAAATTCATTGATAATTCACTACCACTCAAGGTGCTTTACTATTTCCTCCAATCGTTTGGTAGTGAAATGAATATTAACATTGCTGTTGTTGGTGCTGCTGCTGGTGTTATATTCCAACGTTGCATGCCACCAATTATAATAATTGTTGTACAGCAACAACATCAGAAAAGTGTTCTCAACTGCATTGCAAATTGTGGAAAATAATAATGGTCTTTGTGTAAACCGTTCCTCAGAGACAATGCAAATTGTGTCACAAATCATATTTTAGTGGCGAATGGAAATTATATAGAAAAAAGTAGACGATCGCCAAGGGATTAATACAATGTTCCTATTAAAGGACAGGAAGGTTTCAAACCTTGACTTGGTATAATAAATGTTTTATTTTCTATTTTTGTATAAATGGACAGAAAACCAGTAAAGGCCAAAGTCATTCGGAGCTATGTTCGTGAATACTGAACTTTTTATACCTTCCACCATACTTTTAAAATTCCTCAAATCGGTGAGGACTGCGCCTTAATAGGTTGTTCATGTTCTGAAAAAATATGTTTCAAAGTAGAGCATTGCCAATGTCCGGATTTCTGCATTTTATGAATATAATTCTTTGTTATGTCTTGTCTCGTTGTCTTATTGACATCCATGTTCGCATATTAAGTCACAATTAGAACAATCATCACATATAATATTTTTAAACACTCTGGTCATGGTCATGTTGGCCGTATCAACACTTGCTGCACCTATTACATCTGTTGTTTATATCGAAATTATTTGGAAAATACATATGCGAATTTTATAGTAACAACACAGTGTTTGAAATGAACAAACATTGAAATGTTAAACTAACCAAGTAAGTGGTGATACATTGTATTTATCATTTATATGGAAATAATTTTGGAAAATACATATGCGAATTTTGTAACATCAATGGTTGCAAAAATAACAAAAGGGGAGAGGCGGATAATTAACTATTGATAAGACATTTTTGGATTAAAACACCGGTTAGGTCTAAACAAGAAAATATATTAAAAATTAGTTCACCCTTAAAAAACTAAAATATCAGAAACACCGAAAATGCGACGGAACCTTTATGAGGTTCTATGTATATAGTATATTTTCTATATCTAGCCTTTAACATCAATAGAATTGAAGTCAAATTTTTAAAATTACATTTACCGATAATTCTACAAACCGTTTTATGTAAACCATTGTGTACACCAAATACAAATTTTAGCAATTTTTAATGAAAACTCCAAAGCGTGGACTGCAATTTGTATTACATAGTGTAGGAATTAGCGAATATTTGGGGTTATATATATGAGGGCTATGCTTAATTAATGACCGACATATGACAATTTCGAACCCAATATTTTTGTTTTCTTTCTTTCCTTCAGGAGGTATAAATATATGGGGGAGATGTTTAAATGCAGTTCGATATATTTCCTTATCATCAGGTTCGAGTTTTTTAGCACGACTTCCTTAGAAGTCGGAATGATTACAACCGATGGCTAAATCGTCTTAGAATTCCATAATTTGTAGGGTACAACTGACTATTTGGAGTAACGACTATCCCCTATACTATGGTAGAATACGCCTACATGGGGACAACCCCTACACGCGGAACAAGTCAGCTAACTATTTTAACATAAGAAGGGGGTTATATGGGAACTACCCTTAAAAGGGGGCGAATATCAATAACTTTTGGTAGGATGATTTGTTACCTTATGCGGCTAGAAAATACTAAATTACATTTACGGTGGAAAAACGCGCTCAAGAACTACAAAATACCGAAAATTGAGGGTGTCTTTTATGGGGCCTTGCGGAAAAATGGACCCATATTTTTAGTGAAGAAATTTGGTACCCAATAAGAACACATTGTACCAAATTTCAGCGAATTCGGTTTAAAAACGCGCTTAAAAATACCCCCAAAATACCGTAAATTGGGGGGTACCGTTATATGAGGGCTACAAGAAAAAGTGGACCGATATTTATAATTTGTAGTGGAAACATTTGGTACCCAAAAATAACCCAATGTACCCAAAATACCGAATATTGGGGTGCCTTTTTATGGGGGCTACCCGAAAAAATGGACCTATATTTATAATTTTTAGTGGAGAAATTTGGTACCCAACAAGAACACATAGTACCAAATTTCAGCGAATTCGGTTTATAAACGCGCTTAAAAATACCCCCAAAATACCGTAAATTGGGGCGCACCAGAAAAAGAGGACTGATATTTATAATGTGTTAAAAACTCGCTCAAGGACCCTAAAATACCGAAAATTGGGATTGCCCTTATGTGGGGTCTACCCCATATAACAACAGACGGACGGACATGGCTAGATCGTCTTAGATTTTTACCCTGATCAAGAATATATATACTTTATAGGGTCGGTAAATAATATTTCGTTTCGTGTCGTTTTTGGCCAGAAACCGACTTGCATGCATTATGTCTTGCCGATTGGTACCTATCTGTGGCCTCTACTTTGAGTGCAAATTATAATGGACAGAGGAACACACATGCCTAGATCGATTCAGCTAGTCGATATATGACATTCCGTATACTAAATCGTGGATCGGGAAGCAATAATTCATAATTCAACATTTGGTGCTACACAAAAAAAAATTGTGTAGGGTGTAAAATTTACTCTCCGTATTTATATATATATTTCCATTGGATTCAATTGGGGTTAAAAAGAGTCATTCCGAACTTCAGGAGACATTTGAGGCACCAAATGACAGCATATTTGCAAGAAAATTAGTATTAACTGTACCAATCTTAATTCCATAGAGTTCCTTACACGGGGGTTATTAAAATGATATTTAAAATATTTGCGACAGTACTTATATTATTTTCATGCAGTGTACATGCTTATGCATATTTATATCACTATACTATATTTATAAACATCAGCATTATGCGACAGATGGTCTCTGTAATTTCCTCTTTGATGTCATATATGCCAATACAGTAATTATTTATTGTTGTTATTGCATTCCAACATGCCTGCACGTATGTTATAATCAGACATTACAACATGTCTGCATTTCTCCGCTAAGCTTATAAAAAAAGTTGCTTATGACCCACAATTAGTTATGTTGGACTCCTGTAAAATTGATTTTCAAACATTTAAAATATTCTTAAATTTCGATTCCGTTTGGGGCTTCTTAATGATATTCAAAATAAACTACGTTCATTGGAACATAAGTATTAATTTATTTAGGCTTTTTTTATTTCACCACAACATATATTATTTTAATGTTGTTAACATAGAGAAGAACATTCATTCATACATTTATGAATGTAATTTCTTTTCAAATCTACTCCACATCTCCTCGCCCCTTGTCCATATATGCATGTGTTTATGTCAAACACAAATGACCATCACAGTTTTGTTTCTTTGTAAGCTTTTTTGTTTTTTTTTTTTATTTTTTGCATAAATAAATAATTAATTAATTGATCCCAAGTGTGAGGCATTCAACTGCCACAAATGAATGAATAAATGAGGGGAATTGCGATGTCGTCATTACTTTGTTTGTTTTTGATTTTATTTAAATATTTCTTTACATACGTGACTAATGTTTCTTCCATGAAGTGGGTAGAGGTGTGAGGAATTTTTATTATTGCATTTATATTTGATACATTTTTTATGAAATTTAATTCAGATATGCGTTCATGGTTTTAGTAGGAAATTTTACAACCCCATTCCACGATATACCTTTCCCGGAACTCCGGAAAATATGCAAACTTTGAAGATATTTCTAATCAAGTGCCACTGCAATAGCAAAGATAAAATTGGATGGTATTAAAGACCAAATCAACAATTAACGACTAAGATCAGAATATGTTGTGTGATTACCAAAATTCGTTCGGGATCCTTATATGTCCACAGGCAGCATTTAAAGGCTTGCACTGTAAATTGTTTAGGCATAAGATTTTATCCCAATTAAAGACTAACAGTTGAAAAATTAAGGCTATTCGTCCTTTAATCCAAGATATGGCCTGGCTTCCCAGCTTTGTGAACGAAAACTACTTTTACCTCCATCCACAAACTTGGTATGATAGTCTTAAACATGGTCGATAAATAAGCTATATTACGGTTAAGATTTGATACGCTGCAATTTGCAACATCTCTGGTCCAGGAGATTTGGAACGTTGGAAAGTATTTATCAGTCATACAAGTTTTGGATAGCTAATTACGTTAATTATCATGGATTCATTGCCCCAGTTTGAGGATAGACGTGCAAATATATATCTGATAAAAGATCTAGAGTCCCTAATCCGAAGTTAGTCCATGATCCGTCATTTCGTTTAATACCACATATTGTCATATGGTTCTATGATAGTTATTTCCGAAATCTTTCAACTTCGTTAACACTGTCTATCGACTCACTAAATTTCTAAGAATCGCGTTTAACTCTGTTGATCTCTCTTCTTTACATATTAAAAAGACTCTTAGCAACACATAAGAGTTCCAATTTGTCTCCCTAGAGTTTCTAAAATGCTTTAGTTTTAATCCGATGTAATAGTTGTGACGCCCAATTATCGGCCAGTCTCCGTCCGAATACAATCGTTACCTTAACTTCATACCATTGAACACTAACAAGCCCGAGCTCGCCTAACACCACAGCTTTAGGGATTCATCCTTTGGGGCACCAATATTCTCCTCATCAGTCCAAGTATCAATGGTTCGGTTTTGATTGCTTTGACTCCTTGGTTTCTGACGCGGATTTCTCCTGTACTAAGATTTTTCCATTTTATTTAGGTTGGTGAGTTCTCCGATGGGGTCGGACAGCAAAAAAATAAAGATGGACACTCCTGACAAGAGAAAATCGCCGGCTAAGCAGTCGCCAAATAAGAGAGAGCTCAGGCGATTGAGTCGACAGTTATGAGATGTGTCAAATGATGCCAGTGGCGAACAGATAATAGAGGGGCGAAGAAAGCACCTGTTAAGTCCATGGGTGAGTCTCCTTGACTTTCTAAGTGAGAGTCAGTGTAACTCGTGAACCACAATAGTTGCACCTACATTTACACTCACTTAGTTATGCCCACAACTGTACTGGAGTGTACTGAGCGAAACGTATATACTTTTAAAGGTCTTCATACTGAACATTTTATTATACACTCTAATGATTGTCCGATTTATACGGCATTGGCGGCGTGAGCGAACGCTAGACACTGTGCATGAAGATACTCCAACTGCCAGCTGTCATGCAGGAGTTCGGGCAGGCACTTCTCCTTATGGGTCCGATGTTTACGTCGGTGCAGGAGCCTTACCGTAGGGTTGGTTGTGTGCATGAATTGCCGGGGGATACGGGCCTTTACGGTCGAAGGATGTGGCTCTGCTATAATAATTGCGGACAATGACATCGACTGTAGCCATCCGGGGTTGTGCGTGTCCGTTGAATGCACTATAGGTCAAATGACTGGTTTTTCTGTGCAAAATTGAAAAAAATCAAAGTGTCGTTCTTCACGAGTTGTTGTTGTTGTTTTTGTATTTAGAACACTCTAAAATAGAGATACGTGATATTTATTAGTGCTAAATATAAAGTACCGTTACACAGCTGGCCGTGCAAGTCGCTCAAGACTTTTATTCTATAAATATGCTTATGTTTCTGTGGGGCTTAGTCAACTTTGAGTGCGTATTATTTCGATTGTGTTTACAATAATTAATTAGTGTAAAATGAAAAATATAGATACAAGTGAGCATATTTATATCAAATCAACACATTTTTATGTTTGCTACACTATGCTTGAAAATAACCCTTTAGTCTATGAAGACTTTAAAAAGTTAAAGTAATTTGATAGATTGATTTCAGTAAGCTATTAAAAAAAATGACCCAATATGATAAGTAATGAGTTTATTTAAATTTATTTCAAGTTGCGATTTTTTGCGTTTTGCGAGTAATGCCTCTTTTATCTAGGTAACCTCCGTATAAAAAATCGACCTTTTTGAAATATGGCGAAAAGAAGGTAACAAAAAAGAAAAGAAACCTGGTGCTGTTTTCAAACATGAAGTGAGCAAAATTGATGTAGACAACATTTCGGATGAAAGAGAGAAATTTTTAAAGCAAATATTACATTTATTTTGCTTAAAATTAGCGCCAAATTTGGAAAAATGTCACAGAAAGATGAATGTTTTCAAAGACAACCAGTAAGGAAAGATCAAAAGTCAGATTGGGCCGACTATATGATACCCTTTACCACTTTGGGTACAAACAAAAAATTATAATGTGTACAATATCCTGTTGATAGAAGAGACATACCATCTTTGGATGACCATTAACATGGAATCGGGTAAAAAACAAATGTGATCTACATAGATATTTGAGCCAATAAAAACCATAAAAATGACATTCTGAAATCTATAAGAAAATTGCCTAAATCTCAATTTACCTAAAATCTCAATATGGACCGATTTCAAGATGCCAAACTGGACTGAATTCAGTACGCTGTGCAAAATTTCGTTTAAACCGGACCATTATTGGGAGTTTGGTGCACCTTTTAAATAAAATCGGACGAAACAATATATATGTGCTATATAAATCTGGACCGATTTCAACAAAACTTCATAGATGTCAAACTTGACTAAATTCCGTACGCTGTGCAACATTTTGTCCCAATCGGGCAAAAATTTTCAGTTCAGTGCACCAATTACCTAAAAACGGACGGAACTATGTATGTGAGCTATATCTAAATCAGAACCGATTCCAACAAAACTTCGCATACATCAATCTGGACATAATTCAATACTCTGTGTAAAATTTTGTCTCAATCGGATCAATATTGGCAGTATGGTACTCTATTTACATAAAATCGGATGAAACTATATATGGGAGCTATATCTGAAACTGAACCGATTTCAACAAAACTTGGCACATATCAATCTAGACCTAATTCAATACTCTGTGCAAAATTTTGTCTAAATCGGACTAATATTGGCAGTATGGTGCACCATTTACATAAAATCAGACGAAAATATATATGGGAGCTATATCCAAATCTGAACCGATTTCTTCCAAATTC